GAATTCTTCGAATTCTTGCAGAATATAGAAGCCTCAATACGATCACCCTACAATAAGAATCCATTATTTTTTCAGTTGTTATATCTAAACCAATCAATATAACCTATTAAGCAATTCTAGTGATTAATATGTTATAGAGTTCTAAACAATTGAGTTTAGCACAATTACATTTAGAAATCATCTACTTCAAGCGTTATGTCCAACCATGATCACAATAATCAAGTATGCTTAAATTGCTATATGTAAACCATTCAACTAATCGATTCGATGACTATATTTAAGTTACAAACGAATGCTATATGTAAATAGGATAGTTAATTACCCTTTGATCAGCAAGGATTAAAACCCTTTTCGTCATGAAATCCCTCATGTAAGCAATACTCAAAATCTTCACGTCTATGTTCCAATCCGTCCTCGACGGATTCAAATTGGCTATGGAATCCCTCCGCATTTTGAAACGCCGTGTAGAATTACGCGATATTTTTGAAGAATTTGTAGAAGAAAAGATTTCGTGTTTAAGAGTTTTATCGGTTCACTATTGCCAAATAGATTCACAGTTGGAAGAAGATGAAAAGTCTATTAATGAAACAATATATATAATCATAAATCGAAACAGTGCGTCGTTTATGTTTTCAGTTAAGTTTAATTTTTCGACTTTTTGTATAAAACTGTTATTTCGTGTGAAATTAGTATGTTCTATTCAAATCATAAATAATAAATTAGATTTGATTAATGTTTGATTATTTTTGGTAAATTGGTATTTTAAAGATTTTTTTGGCACTAAACGAATTTCCAAATATATTCTATACATTAAATTGATCGGTAAATGGACTAATAATTTTAATTTAGCTAAAATATTAGTAATTGTATTAAGTCTAATTTTTTAAAATCAAAAAACAATAGTTTGATAGATTTAAAATTTAAAACAAATGCAATAGCATTATTACTCAAGTTTGGAAAAAATATCTTAAGAGGATGCATTGTAATGCTTATTCGTGCATGGAAAGTTAAACACGTAAAACTTTAAGAAGGAAACCCAAGTGTTTTTAGAGATTATTAAAGTATAAATTTTTCAAAAACAACAATGTAAACTACTATTAAAACTTTCGAAATTACATCTTCATATATTTTAAAACTATAATACTCTATTTTGCTAATTATAAAGAAACTTTTACACCTTAAATATAATTTTTTAGTTGTAATGCATTTTTTAAGTTGCGATTATAAGTATTAGAGAATTTATTTAGAAAATACATTAGGTTTATTCGATAAAAATTAAAAAGATGAACTATTCAAAGCGAAATTATTCAAGAGTGCAACCATAAAAGTGGATGCATGATAATAATTATTCTTACATGAAAATAAAGCACGTAAAACTGGATATGCAACAACTTGATACGTAACTAAATGTTATCAAAAACTTCTT